AGGGGGTGAGCAGAGAGGGGAAATGCTGGGAGAAGGCAAGGTGCTACTGGGCATGCTCAAGAGGTGCTCCCCGATCAGGTCAGCTTTCTCACCTGAGAAAGTCTGAAACGGACATCTGTAGAACTACCGCAAGGATCCAACTGCCTTTCAAAAGGGAGACCTGATGCCTGTCCTTTGCAGTCCCCTGAAGGACAGCCATGGCTGGACTCTGGCTCATCATCAGCAAGGACTCTGAAGTAAAATGTCAGACTGCCCAGCACACTAAGAAATCGTAGGCCCAGAGTCCCAGCCAAGGAAGCGAGCAGACCACAGCCTTTCCAGCTCCGGGCTCCAAGTTCCCTGCCCAGCAAACCTTCAGGGCAAAGCATGTGCTTCTGCAGAATGAAAGCTGCTTCTGGGAAGTGGTCCGGACGTTAAGGTTCAGCTATTTTGGAAGCTGGGCATGTGCCAAGGAGGGTACATGGCCACCTACGTGCAACAAAACCGTCAGGCAGCACACAGTGGCAGCAGAAGGCAGCACCAGGGGTAAGAGACTCGGTCCTGCAGGAAGTGTGTTCGAGGAGCCCAGCACCGGGCCAGAATCCGACCTGTTTGGCCCTGTTGACCCTTTCTGGGTTTAAGAAAGGAAAGAGAGAAAGAATCCCAGACACAGACCGAACTCCCTCGAGGCCACACTCACCTTCCTCCTGCTCTACAGCTGTCTGCAGATCTCTGTGGAAATGGGCACAGGTGTCGCCTCCTCCTCCTCCACTGTGCCCGCACAGGGCTGTCTGTGGCCAGGAAGCAGCGCCTTCTGTTCTCCTTCCCCCCCGAGAGAAGCCTTAGCTGTAACTTCTCGGGGATGTGAGTGTTAATAGATGCACCATTTAATTACTATTTAGTATAATTAAATGATTACGGGGATTTCAAAGATCCTCTCACTCAGGATGAGTGTTGCTTAGTCCAGAGCACCCCGCTCAGGTGGCGGATGGGCCTTCCTCTCCCCCCTAACCTCAGGCAAGCACCTCTGCGGTCACTCCCTGCCAGACCCTGAGCTCCAGCTTCCAGCCCCACTGTCTCTAACAGCCAGAGACCATGGCTCACAGAAGGCCTCCCGGAGATGGCATGAAGACAATTGCCCGAAGATGCCATCCCCGTGCCCAGGGCGCTAGCCTTAAGGCCCCACATCTCTGTGGCTTGAAAGCCAAGGATACTCGTGGCCTGGCCAGAAACTTCCCTCTTTTATTTATTTATTTATTTATTTATTTATTTATTTATTTAATTTTAAGGACAGAGAGAGAGAGAGAAAGCGGAGGAGAGGGGCAGAGAGAGAGAGAGAGAGAGAAAATTTTAAGAAGGCTCCAAACTGCCAGCACAGAGCTTGATGCAGGGCTTGATCCCACAACCCTGGGATCATGACCTGAGCTGAAACCAAGAGTTAGATGCTCAACCAACTGAGCCACCCAGACACCCCAGCAACTTCCCCTCATGACATGACTGTCCATGGACCCAGGCCCTTCTCAAACCACCTACTCACACCAGGCTTTCCACTTTGTGGAAACGAATGTCCTTGAGTTCCTAAAGAGATCACAACTTCTAGGAACATCTGAATGGGGCCTTCCCTGAGGCTCATGACAGACAGATACCCCTGACTTCCCATAACAGGAGTCAGTGGGTGGCTGCTTTCTGGTACACCTGGGCCAGCCCCAGAAGGAAGCAGGATCAGCCTGTGAACAAGGAAAGAGATCATCACACAGAACGAAAAAAGAGAGCATAGCAGTTGGAATCACCCACCACAAAAAGCTGGTAGCACAGGAAAAGGAACACACATATTCCTGAGATATACTTTACCAGCAAAACCTCTATTTCCCCTCCCTTTTCAGGAGAAAAGGAAAAAAATCCAGAGTCATGTAGTTCCCTTTACAGTTCATGATGGCAGCATTCATTCATAACATCTCAGACATGATGGTGGTGGCAGTGGGGTGACCAAGTGGTCAAGTCACCTCAAAACGTGCACGTCTGTGTATGTACATGCGACAGCATGAGCTGGAGGGACAGGAAAAGCACAAAGGAACAACAACTTTACATATATATATAAGAACAGTAAAACCCTGGCTCATGAGTAACTTGTTCTGCAAATGTTCCGCAAGACAAGCAAATATCTCTAATAAATTTTAACTTCATAAACGAGCAATTTCTTGCAATATGAGTAGTACATGACACCGAATGTCACATGATCACAACTGAGCCAATGGTTCTTCTGTCTCTCTCTCTCTCTGTCTCTCTTGCTGCAGGATTGTGGGTGATTGTCTCCCACGCTCGGATGCTCAGGCCATGGTGTTTGGCAGAAATCAGTGATTTTTCAGAATGTTGGAAGGTGCCAAAAACCAGTATTAGTGTATTTGTTGTCACTTCCAAGCACCTATGGACAGTCCTTTGCTTCATTCTAGGTCAGGCCGCCTGCAGATATAGACCCTTTCCTCCGCTGCCTTATTGCCAGTTACATTAAATACAGTCTCTGACAAGAGTTTATGAATACTTTACTGTAGTCAACATCCGTGTGAGCATATACAATGGTCCCCGTGCAGAAAAAGATTCCATTGAGCCAAAAGATAGCAGTAATTCCATTAGTGATACTGAAAGTTGTCCTACACAATAGCCCTCCTCTCTCTTGTCTCCCTCACACCAGCCACAAAGGTTTTCAAAGGTAAATGCAAGTTAATTTGTTTATTTTTCTTTATATTTTGTATTTTCTTTATTATTTTGTATTATATTACAGCATTGCAATCACTTTTATATGAATATTTTGAGTTATGGAATGAATCATCTGAGCTTCCATTATGTCTTACGGGGAAATTCCCATTGATATACAAGTGCTTTAGATTACAAGCATGTTTCCAGAACGATTTATGTTCACAAACCAAGGTTTTACTGTATTTACAATCAAGTCTTTGTAATTTAAGCATAACTGACTATTTCCTTGACCAATGCCAAAATAATCCAGAAGTCAAAGAATTTGGAACTGTTCTATATTCCAATTTTTTTAATTTAAAAAATAAAGGAAAAACCAATAAGAAACTTTACAGTCACAAATGGAACTCATTTGTCTCTTTTTTTTGCTCAAAGAATGGTGGTAAACTGAGTAAGCACTTCTTTTTCCTCTAATGTTTTATCTACTTTTGAGAGAAAGAGAGGGCGGGGGCAGAGACAGGGGGCTAGAGGATCCAAAGCGGGCCCAGCACTGATAGCAGCAAGCCCAACACGGGGCTTGAGCTCATGAACCATGAGATCATGACCTGAGTTGAAGTCGGATGCTCAACCAACTGAGCCACCCAGGCGCCCCCTGAGAAAGCACTTCTGATTGCAGTGGCATTCACACTGCATGGCAAGCACGTCAACGGGAAACACACTAACTCTAGCTCTTGCCAAAAGGCCAACAACAAACAAAAACAAACACCAAAAATTAGACTGTGTCTCAAACAAGAAACCCTAAGCAGTACTCTGGCCAATGAAGCTCAGGTCTTCACACTGAATTTAATGTCCCAAGTCACAGCAGTTCCAGTGGCTCTCCAGAAGCATGTGCAAATTACATGCTCCTTTCCCACAGGGGTACTTTGGATAACAGCTTCTGAGCCACGCTCCATTACTTGAGCTCTGTCGTGCAGCCATCCCAGGAACAGTCTGCGGAGCGCTCCTCCTGATGTCAGTCCAATCAAGTCACACAGGACTCTGAACAGTCTCACTACACCCACTGGCAGCAACCCACACCCTGTGGACCAGTAATGGGGGCAGAAAATAGCCTCACCCCCTCGATTCGAGTCTGTGAGCCACATTCAACCGCGTGAGCCCAGGCCCGGCACCTCACACTCACAGAAGAACGAAGGAAGACGTCAGGTAACACTCTGACAAAGCAAACAGTCCGCTGTGGGTGAGTGGAAACGTACATTTCATAAACAACCTCCCGGAAAGCAGCGGATAAAAATAAACTGTCCTGGCCAAGAGGTGCACAACCTTCAGAGAATTCAGGAAAACATAAAACTGATGAGCCATTAAAATATCATCTTTGGGAAAATAACTGAAGAAATTTGTATCCCATGAAAGCAATCATAAAACCCCAGCCTCAATTCTAGCACACTGCCACCCCAGCCATAATAAAGGACTACTATGCTTGAACTCATCCTAACGAACCCGCTGCCTAAATATTTACCTGGGTTTGAGAAGCCAAAGTGTTCAGGGTGCACTTACAGGTTGTTCACTTACATGAACAGAGAAGGCAAAACACCCAAGCAGTCCAGTCATTCCATTTCACAGATCATATAAACATGCTTGTTCTTAGAATCCATTTACACTGCATTAAAAACTATGGGGTGCCTGGGTGGCTCAGTCGGTTGAGCATCCGACTTCGGCTCAGGTCACGATCTCGCGGTCCATGAGTTCAAGCCCCGCGTCGGGCTCTGGGCTGATGGCTCAGAGCCTGGAGCCTGCTTCCGATTCTGTGTCTCCCTCTCTCTCTGCCCCTCCCCCGTTCATGCTCTGTCTCTCTCTGTCTCAAAAATAAATAAACATTAAAAAAAAATTTTTAATAAAAACTACAAAGTTAGAGGGGAAAAGGGACATGTCCATCCACAAACTTGACCCCCATGTTTGGGAAAGCTCCTCAGGAGAAGAGGAGGTGCCCGAAGTGCCCTGTCCTGGGCCCCCTGCATTACTACCGGTTCTGTCTGAACACTGAGCTACTGTGTAGAGACCACAGGAGCTCCTGGAGCCCAAGGGTTCACAGGGACTCGTGCAACAGTCCCTGGTCTGTCGAGGAACAGACCAATCAACTGGCCAATCGAGCAGGAAATTCCCAGCTATGGTGCTTATCGTCTTCCCCACCACAGAGCATTTACCAAGCTCTGTGGGGCACCCTGATGCACTCTCTACAGAAAGCCTCAGGAACTTCCTCTCAAGATATGAACGCTGAGTGCACATATAAAAAACCCAAGCAACAGTATGAATGATAAACTCCCACTGCCTACCTGTCAACTTTATGCAGCCCCAATTGTAGAAGTGACCACTCCCACTCCTAGCCAGTTGACAGCACTTGCTGGAGGGACACCTCGCCCAGAGATGCCCGAAGGAGGTGTCCCTACCCATCCCCCAGGTGTCCAGTGCCTGGGCGCCAGTCAGGAACAGTTCTGTGCTGTGATGAATGTTCCAGAACTCACCACTGGACTTCTAAAAGGTGGCTTTGCCCATCTTGCCTCCCTCACACTCCTGAGAGTTCTTCCCATCTCATCTGCAGGAGAGGTGCTGCTCAGGCCAGCCACTACAAGCCCTTCCCAGGACAAACTTCTCTGCCAAGTTGGCTCTCACCATCCAGGCCAAAGCTGAGTCACTGCTTATCCTCACTGGTCACTTTCCCAACATAATGTTTGATCTCAATTGTGCCATCAGTACTCTGAAGACAAGACATTCCGAATATGCTTTACTCCAAACGCCTTATCAACAAAGACCAAGAGGGACAATACACCTGTCTCTGCTACTCTGCAGTTAGGGAGAAAGGGCATGACAGACGTCAGACAGTGGACAAGCCACAAAAGGTTTCGCTTTGAGGCTTAAGGAATGAGCACCAGTAGCAAGTGGGGCTTATCAACATGGACCACAACTCCCTCTCAACGCTGAGCACCCCACACAACCACCTCAGAGACCTGAGAGACTAACCAGGCCCCCGGAATTCCCGTGTGATCACCCAAACGATTTCACAACCTGGAAAGGTTAGGTTTCCATGGGTTTCTTCCCTGTGGCTGGAGCCTGGAGCCTGCTTCAGATTCTGTGTCTCCCCCTCTCTCTGCCCCTCCCCTGCTCATGCTCGGTCTCTCTCTCATTAAAAACATTTTTTAAAATAATAATAATCCTGACAACACAAAAACTTAAATCAAAATGCCTGAAATGCCTTTTAAGTGAAAATCTTCACTGCAGCTCAGGGTTCGGGGTGGGTAAATAGAAGCTTGCTGCATGAAGAGAAGATTTTAGATTTGAGGCTTTGATTGGGTTCATAATGTCGGTGTCGTTTTCAAGAAAACAAGCAAATAATAAGAAAAAAAAACTACATACGTGAGCCCACTTGGGCCATGTCTGTGTTCTGCACCAGGTGCATGGGAGACCAACTGGGCAGTTGACTCATAATGGACTTCCAGCTCCACTGTCAACCAAGTCAGAACCCAAAAAGAGATGGGCAAACATCCTGGCAGTCAGGATCACGGGTGGAGACAGACAGGTGCTGCGAAGGGCATGACTGTGTCTTCCCAAAATCGCTTTGTTGAAACCATAACCACCCTTCGTGTGATGGTCTCAGGAGGTGGAGCCTTTGGGAGGGGACTGGGCCATGAGGGGTGGAGCCCTATGATGGCATCAGTGCCCTTGTAAGAGAAAGAGACCAGGCCCTCTCTCTCCCTCTCCACTGAGTGAGCACAATGAGCAAGACGGCAGCTGTCTGCAAGCCGGGAGGAGACTCACCAGTCACCAAATCTGAGGCCACCTTGATCTTGGACTTACAGTGCCCAGAGTTGTGAAAAATTAACATCTGCTGTTTAAGCTGCCCAGTCTGTGGTATTTTGCTATGGAGCCCAAAAGGACTAAGACAGATGGCTCAGTGAAATTAAGATCATTTGGAAGGCGTTTAATAGAGGGACTACTTACAAGGGGACATGGAGGAACCATGAAGACTACGGGGGACCTCCAGGTTGGCAGCAAATAGGCTGTTCATATCTAAGGCCCCAGAGGAAGGAGCACCGAACATGCAGCAAGACACCACAGGGGGGCACTGAACTGCAGCCCAAGGACAGGGCCAGCGGGGAGGTCACAGCTGGGAGGGAGCCAGAGGAAGAAACCTCAGACTTCCTTCCTCCTTCTCAGTGCCTCCTGGTCTCCCGCTGCCAGCAGACCAGCAGATGAGGGGCCAGACGGCAAGGGAGTGGCCACAGGGTGCACAGAGCAGCTGTGGCCGTGGGCAGGGCAAGGAAGGGCAGACCGCGCCCCCAACACAGGGAGAACACCAGGCCACATCCTACCAACAAATCAAGCAGCCGGCTCTGGGCGCTTCGGCCAAACACTATTTCTTGCGTAGAAATCTAAATATTGGGCTATATTACTCTATATTACCATTTTCCCTTGCCAGAACTATCCGCTTATTTCTTATTTAGCCCTCTGATAAATGACTGCTCTTCATTTTTATTTATAAATGTTCCTTACAGTATTTGCCAGTCTCACCTTGACCTCATACATTTTATTTGTTGTTTTAATTTCTAGCAGAACTGCTTTTTCAAAATGCTGAAAAGTCGTCATGTTAGAGCTAACAAGAGAAAATATTGGTTTTGCTCCAGATCTATTTCTTTCGGCTTTGGAAGCAAAACTCTGGCTTCCCAAGGGCTGAAATGAGTAAAAGACCATGGGAATTCCAGTCTTCCTGGGGCGATGAGGACACCGATTTGGACAGTGGCTGGCCACTGGACCACAGGCAGAATGAGAGTCAGGACCAAGTTTTTAGGGAGTCTTGTGTAAGTCGCTTTCTTTTCATGCTTCACAAAGCACACAGCCAGGACTGTGAACTGCATCTCATTTTGAAACTGTTTTCAAGACTCTTCTTTTGTTTACCAAATAATTGATGAGCACAATTATAAACATTTATTTTCAGTAGATTCCCTCCTAGCAACTGGTGCCATTGCTGCGCTGAAGTCATCCCGTGGAAATCCACTAATGGACAATCTCAAATCTGCGCCTAATTGTTTCATGTGTTCCCATCACTAATGAGGGTGTAATTGTAAGTTTCCAGAGAAGAAGCACAATGTCCTATATTTCACGATTCTGGTGTCCTCCAGGCATCCAGCATAATTCACCGTATCTGTTTCAATTAATAGATGAGATCGATTCTGTATATGGGGTCTGATGCTTTGCAACGCTCCCTGGAATTTCACAAGAGATGGACCTCCCCATTCCCTAAGCACTGATGACAAAAGCAGGTGCCCTCCCTTAGCAACAGACTGTGCCTAGCCTACTGCTGTTCTGCACCCCTTCTCAACATGCCTGTGTCCAGTGCATGGTCCAAAGGCAAGGACACAGAGTGAAAAGGCAGGGGCGGGGCCAGCTGACATTCCATCTTATAACTGAAACAAAATTACATGAACTTGGCATTTTATTCCCATTTTACAGATGAGTAAAGAGGTATGAGGCAACTTACCCAACTCACACAGCTGGAGACAGCAGGCCAGGCAGCCTGGACCCTCAGGTCTTACTCCCAAACCTGAGCCTGGTGACCTGCTGGAGGGGAAGCAGCCTCAACCCTGCAGGTCGGTCCTTCCAAACACACCTGGGAGATAATCTTGGAGGGAACTAAATCACACATTCAAAAATATTTTAGGGAAAATAATGCTCTGGGTGTTAGCTACAATTTTCCACAGTTAGAAACTGCAAAGAGATACACTGGTAACGAACAACTGGCACATTTTCCCACAAACTATTTCTCCAAATTTCATCTAAAAATATGACTATGAATTCAAATGAGTCAGAGAAACTTCTAAAATTTATATTCGATGCACTAAGGTGTGGATTTACTATTTACCTTCCATTTTAAGTGCCTGTGGCCGCAGGTACTAGCAGTGCTGGCGGTGTGCACTTACTTAGCTCAGGGTTTAAGCTCCTGCAAAAGTAAGCACTTCATCTCCACAGAGAAAAGGGCGTGAGCATGTTGAAACAGCACACCGAGCCGAGCACCTGACCCTGGCTCCCCACAGCCTCAACAGCAGGCCCCCACACTGAGTCCTGCAGAGCTCATCTCTGACCGAGGAACCACGTCCAAGGCGCAGTAAAGAAGGCATCTCGGGGTGCGCCCTCCTGCGATGGAGGAAGGGGAGCACAGACGGTGATGGTTCACCGTGAGAACGTTTCCTTCAGTTCCAGGTTCAAGGCAGAGCCATCTCTATGCAGAGCCCACCCATGTCCGTCTGCTTCATCTGCTCTGGGCACCGGCACATCTCACTGCTGAGCCATCAGTGTGGTAAAAATCTGGACTTCAGTTTGGTGTGGTTGGGACGAAGGCCCAAGTGTGACTGCTGCACCATGGGCACTCTGCCTCCCTCCCCGTCTGACAATGCCCAGGGGCCGGGGCTGCAGCTGCGCCCTATCGGAACTGGCCCGCTGCCAGCCTTCTCTCTCTGCTGCCTTGCTGGTCCTTGATGCTGCAGCGTCCGCTTCAGTGTCACCTGCCATCTCCCCGGGAAGAGCCTCCCACCCCTAAGTCACTGACATCTCCTTTAATCAGAAGCCTTACTGGCCGGTGCTTAGCCTGAAGGAGCCGGCTGCAAGCCAAGCTTCCCTGGGGCTGTGACAAAGGTCGGCTCCCTACTTGCTAGTGTACAATGCAGGTTTACACATTGGGCCTAGGTGGGCAACGAGGAGCCAGGCCGCATAGACCCTCCATGATCTGAGGAATGGAGGGGTTTGTGCCGTGGTAAGGTCAGATTTCTGAGGAGAGCTTTTCTCCTCCCCAGGCCCCGGCACGCACCCTCAGGATATTTGGCAAGCACGGAACTTGGGGACATCTGGAACTTCACCATCCCTCACCCGGGACAGAGGCAGCCCACGAACCATGGGACTGCAGGGCAGTGACATGGTCATTCGTGCCTCCCTGGGGACACCGAGGGTGCTCAAACACCTCCCACCACTGATGCCTTTTCCACCCTTAAAACCTCATGAGTTTTTCCTTTACTTTGGAATAACTGAACAAACATTCTAGGCCTACATCCATCTCCAGTGTTACACGCTCAGTGTTGGTCAGCTGACATCTGGTGATAATACATCACATCTATCGAGTATTTATTAAGTCCCCGTCACAAAGTGCTTTCCATAAATGACCTTATTTAATCCTCACAGCATCCTGCAAGATAGAAGTCTCATTTTACAGATGAGGCAGCCACGGCTGTGAGAGGCTAAGTGATCTGAGGCTGCACACAGCCAGTAACTGGTGCTGGGATTCAAATCCAGGTCTGACCCTGATCCTGCGGTCACAAAATATCTCAGGAAATAATACTCTCAGAGTGCCTGGCACTCCAGGTACTTCATACAACAGTTTTTCTGCCTCTCCTTTTGAAAACAAAGGATAAATGGTTTGTCAT